CTTGCTGACGCACGCGCTGCTCGCGCGCGCTTCGCCTCCTCCCTTCCCCGCGCTGCCGCCTGCTGCTTCTTTCTCCCCGCCGACCTGTGCACCTGGCTACCCTTCCTGCTCTCTCCTCTCCCTCCTCCTTCCTCTCCCCCCTTGTCGACTCTGCGCGGCTCCGGGTCGGGACTGCCTCGCCCCCTGCTGCTTCTTGCTGGCCCGCCTCTGTCCCCTCCCTTTCTTTCTGCTTGAGGAGGAACAGGAGGAGAGGGCGGAGGAGGAGGAGGAGAAGGAGGAGGAGGAGGAGGAGGAGAAGTCAGATGATAGTTGGTGTGAGGAGTCGAAAGATGTGGTGGAAAAGGAGGAGGAAGAGGATGAGGAGGAATCACCGCAGACCACATGACCCTGCCGAAAGAAAAGGAGGAGGAGGAAGAGGAGGAGGAAGAGGAGGAGGAGGATGTGGAGGAGACACGCGACAGCTCCAGTTACGCGTGACAGACCAGCCACCAGCTCACAACTCGAAGGAGGAGGAGAGGGAGGACGAGGTGGAGGGAGGAGGGGGGGGGTAGAACGAGAAGGGGGAAGCAGGACGGCGGAGGAGGGAGGAGGGGGGAAGATTAGGGAGAAGGAGTAAGAGAAGAAGCACCCCCCCGACTGCAATCCTTGGGCTGCACTGGTCCCGAGCCCGTGGCGTCCCCAACGGGCTGGGCAACTCTCGCACGGAGGGCCTCCGCGCAGAGACGGCGCTCAACCTCGGGCGGGAGGCGGGTCTGCAGGAGTCGCCCTCGCGAGACAGTGGGAGCAAGACTCATCGCGCCCCCCCTCTCCCACATGCGTTATAGATGATAGTATATACACACATGTCCCCCTTTCGCTCTCGGTCCACATGTGTTGCACGGGAGGGGACGCGGATTGGAAGTGCTAAGATCATGATGAGAGAGGAGATGCTGCTGTGGAGGTGGAGGAGGAGGACGAGGAGGAGGAGGAGGACGAGGAGGAGGAGGCGGAGGAAGAGGAGGAGGAGAAGGGCACCTGGGACGAGGAGGTATACAATGCTGCTGATGGTGGCGATGCTGCTGCTGCTGCTAATATGGTTCATTGTCAGGTTGGCGAGGGGGATGGCGAGCAGGCGGAGGATGCATATCGACGGCGATGACGCGGATGATGTAGGGCGAAGAGGGAGGAGGGAGGGGGGAGGGAATACTGCTGTTGAGAAGGACGGATTGGGGATGCTGCTGCTGATTGTGATGGTGATGATGCTGATGATGATGCTGATGATGCTGATGATGATGGTGATGCTGACGACGATGCTGCTGATGATGATGATGATGATGATGATGATGATGCTTATGAGGTATTGCTGCTGCTGCTGCTGCTGCTGCTGATGATGATGATGATGATGATGATGATGATGATGATGATGATGGTGGTGGCAATGACGAGCAGGAGGAGGAGGCGGAGGAGGAGGCGGCTGAGCAGGCAGGCCGTGCGCAATTTGTAATATACGTTCTCCGCATCGCGATCCGGTCTCGTCTTCTGTCCCTCTGTCCCTCCCACCCGTCCCTCTCCCGTCCCCTCGCTCCCGTCCACCCATTCTGAGTCTACCCATTCTGGCGGCGTCGCGGCCTCCTCGGCGACAGCAACTGCGGAGACGCCTCGCGCAAGGGGGGGGGGGACGGGGGGGAGGTCGACGGCGGCGGGGGAAGGGGTAGGTTTTGGGGGGGAGAGGACGGCAAGGGGAAGGGGGTTGGGGGTTGGTGGGTGGGCGAGGACGGGGAGATGGTCGTCATAGTCCTCGTCCTGCTGCTGCTGCTGTTGCTGCTCTTTCTCGACCCTCGTTCCTCCCCGCGCCAGATTGCGTCAGCGCCAGGCCAACACGCTTCGAGCTGCGCGCCGCGAGAAGCCGATGACAGCCCCCTCTCCATATCTGTTGTGATCAGGGTAGCGGACCCCCAATACCTCTTCACACTAACACCTTCCTCAATCGCCGCTCTCCTCGCCGTTCACCATCAGCACTTCCATCCCCCTTTGATGCCGGCTCCTCTCTTTCCAACTCCTCCTCCTCCTCCTCCCCGACTCGTCCTCCTCCTCCTCGTGCTCCTCCTCCTCCCTTTCCTCCTCCGCCTCCTCCTCTTCCTCCTCTTCCCCTTCTCTCCTCATTCTTTGCCTTCCCACCTCCTCCCCCATCCCTCCCCTTCCTCCGCCGCGTCCTCCTCCTTCTCCACCTCCTCCTAGCCCCCTCAAACATTATACATTATGAATCTCACTCTCCTCTCTCCTCCGACATTGCCTAGAAGATGTCCGGCCCTCTCCGCGTGTTGCTCTTGCAGACAAGGTTTCAAACGCTGTTTCTTATCACGTGCTTTCTAAATCCGATCGTGCTCGGAGTTTCAAGGCGGTGATCCAGCTGCAGCGTGTGCGTCATCTTCGGGTCGGCGCTCTGCTCCCGTCGCTCAGAACGGCGTTCTCGCCCAAGCGCGGGCCGCTTTTCTGGATCCGAGTCCTCTCCTCGTTGTCGCCCCCTCGTTTCCCCTCCTCCGCCTTCCCCTGGTCCTCCTGATCCCCCCTCACTCCAGCTCCTTCTGCTGCTGTTCTTCCTCGTCCTCGTCGTCGTCGTCCTTCTCCTCCTCCTCCTCCTCTTCCTCGTCCTTCCTCCTCCTCTCCCTCCTCCTCCTCTTCCTCCTCCTCCTCCTCCTCCTTCTGTTCCTCCTGCTCATCGTCCTGCTCATCCGCCACGTCCTCCTCCGCCTCCTCCTCCTCCTCCTTCCTCACCCCCCTCCTTTTCCTCCTGCTCATACTCCTGATCATCCACCACCACCACCACCTCCTCCTCCCCCTCCTCCTCCTCCTCCTCCTCCTCCTCCTCCTCCTATGTTACCAATGCCCATTTACCGATTTCGCATAACGCGATTGGGGTCGTTCTGGGAGTTTCAGGTGCGCCATGACATGCGTCCACGGTTTGAGAAACAATCAGCACGAGAGCACCTAGGGTGTCCTCACCCCCTCTTCTTTGCAGCCCCCTCCCCGTCCTGATCGTGAGATGTGCGAAAAGCTTTCGAACCGCGTGGGGGACATCAGTACAGTACCGAACACCCCCCCTTCCCACTCCTGCTCCCATCTCCTGTCCTGTCTCCAGCAGTCCCCTTCTGCTCCTTCCTTTCCCCCCCGCGGCAGAGCAGCGTGAGGAAACACGACACACACAACACAAAGCGGACCTTTTTGGCATTCCTCCCTGGGCGGCTTCACGCAACGAGGTTGCTCCACCAATAAGACCCGCCGGCCCCGCACGCTGGGGGCGCTCCAGTCGTTGGCACCGAGAAAGAAGGAGAGTTGTGGTGAGGAGCAGGACGAGGATGAGGAGGATGAGGATGAGGATGAGGATGAGGAGGAGGAGGAGGAGGCGGAGGAGGAGGAGGAGGAGGAGGAGGAGGAGGAGGAGGCGGGGAGGAGGACGGAGAGGAAGAGGAGGAGGAGGAGGAAGACGAGAGGGTAGCGGGAAATAGGAGTGAGAGCAGCAAGGGAGCAGGAGCAGGAGTAGGAGTAGGAGTAGGAGGGGAGGAGGAGATTTGAGAAAGAGAAGGAGGAGGAGGAAGAGGAGGAGGAAACGGATGGATGGCAGGTATGAGGGAGGGCGTGGAGGGAGGGAGGAGGACGGAGGATCGGAGAAAAACACGACAGGCTAGTTCCTCACGTTCGTCTCGCGTAAAAAGGAGGAGCAAAGAGAGGAGGGATCAAACGTGTGTGTAGGGAGTCGAAGGAGAAGGAGCAAGGACATGATGATGAAGGATTCGAGTGGGAAGCGGGGAAGGACGAGGTGGAACGTGGCATGGGGCAGGAGGAGGAGGAGAAGGATGAGGAGAAGGAGGTGAAGGAGGAGGAGGAGGAGGAGGAGGAGGAGGAGGAGGAGGAGGAGGAGTATGAGGCGAGTCTAGTTAGCCAGGTTGAGCGGGTCAAAGAGTCCGATGAAAACGGCGAAGACGAAGCATACGCAGCGCGGATACAGCGCCGCCTCTTTCACGAACAAGCTGCGCCACGCTTGGGCGAGGTTGGCACTTCGCCCGCTCTGTTTGAAGCCCCGCTGCCGCTGTCGCTTTCGCGCGCTTCGGCCAACGAGCCGTGCGCCGCGCCCGCGCGGGGCCCCCGCTTCCGAGCGACGTGCGCACGGAGCTTTGGCGACGGCGACGTGTTGCCTGCTCATGCGGGCCCCAACGAATAAACCGGCGAGTGAACAACATGCGCCGCGTCGGAGCGGGATCGCCACTCTCAGGGCGAAAGCTGCCGGGGCACCGAGGCGAGAGCTGCATCTTCGCCCGCTCGCGCGTCGACAAGATAGCGTGCCCAGGCAAGAGCTCGCTTCTCTAGGAACTCGAGCGCGGCGCCGTGCGAAGAGGACATTTCGGCCTTTCGCGTGGGATGCGCGCCCCGACCCACTCCTGCCACGCATTCTGCAGCACGGACGACAAAATGTCCATGTCGAGACGACGGCCGTTGACTTTGTATGACCTTGTACGCGTAGGACGGAGGGCACCAGATACGGCCCTTATCGGCCGACTGGGGTGGAGGAAAAATATAAACGCATAAACAAATGGATACATGGCCCTCTTCGCCCCAAAACCGCTCAACAAGACCCGCTATGCTCCCCCAGGACTCCCCGACGCCTGTTCCCCCCCCCCCCCCCCCCCCCCTCCCTCCCTTCCTCCACTCTCATCGCTCCTCCCTCCCTCTTTCCCTCCTCCCTCCTCCCCCCTCCCAACTCCCTCCTCCTTCCTCCCTCCTCCATCAATCCTCCTCCTTTTCTTCCTCCTCCTACTCCTTCCTCCCTCCTCATCCTTTTCCTCCTCCTCCTCCTTTTCCTCCTCCTCCTCCCCTATCTTTCCTTCGCTGGCACGCTGTCCCTCCCTCCCTCGCTCCGCCATTCCCCTCCTCCTCCACTCTCCTCGCTCCTCGCTCCCTGCTCCCCCCTCTCCTCCTCCTTCCTCCTCCTCCTCCCCTCCTCCCTCCTCCTCCTCCTCCTCCTCCTCCCTCCTCCTCCTCCTTCTCCTCCTCCTCCTTTCTCCTCCTCCTCCTCCTCCCCCCTTCCCCTCCCCTCCCCCCCTCCCCTCCACCTTCCCTCCCCTCCCCTCCCCTCCCTCCCTCGTCGTCCTCGATCTCCTCCTCCTCCCCCTCTTCCCTCCTCCCTCTCCCTCCCCCCTCCTCCAGGGGTGCCCGGGCGGGCCGGCAAGGCCAGCGGCTATCCGCTCGAGCACTCCCGGCTCGCCGGCCTCCGCAGTCTCGCGCGGGAACAGTCCGCCGACGCCCGCCCGCGCGTGGGGGCGCGCCGGGCGGGCCGCACCGTCCCTCTCCTCCGGGAGGGGGCGGAGGAGGAGGAGGAGGCACTTGGCCCTCCTCCTCCTCCTCCCTCGTCGTCCTCCTCCTCCTCCGATCCTCCTCCTCCGATCCTCCTCCTCCTCATCCTCCCTCGTCCTCCTCCTCCTCAGATCCTCCTCCTCCTCCTCCTCCTCCTCCTCCTCTCCTCCCTCTCCTCCAGGCGGGCGAGGCTGCGGAGACGATGGCTCCGGCTGCAGGTGCCGTCGGCCGAGGCGAGCGGCAGCAGGCGGAGCAAAGAGGGGCGAGGCGCGCCAGTGATGGAGCGCCTGTGCCGAGGGGGCGAGGCGAGGGCGGAGGAGGGAGGAGGGCCACTGTGCGTCCACCCAAGGCGCATCCACGGGATTGCAGTAGATCCTCCCTCCAGCTTCCCTCTGCGTAAGTCCCTGCAAGACTGTTGTATGCTTTATTGCGGGAAGTGCCCGATGAAAACGTAACCGCCCGCGGACCTTCATTGGAGCCAAAACACAATTCCTGGGACTACAGCGCTGCGAGTCAATGTGACTATTGCGTCCTGGCAATCCTAAACCGTGCCAGAGCACAATTCAAGACACTTCAACACCGCTAATCAACTAACTGTTGTCTGGGATTTTTAACACTGCGGGAATGTTGACCGGTTGCAAACTGTGCAGACGAATGTGCGCAGGCTAAGGCGATAATCACATTAACACAATTCAAGACACTTCATCACCGCTGATCAACTAACTGCTGCCTGGGACTTTTAACACTGCGAATATGTTGACCGTTTGCAAACTCGACGAATGTGCGCGGGCTAAGGCGAGAGTCACATTTTGAAACGGAGCCCCCCCATCTTTGACACTGTTGTGCACTTTCAAAAACGAATGCGCGCGGCGCTAAGGCGATAACCAAATTCTGAAAAGGACCCACCCTCAATCCTTGAAGCTGTTGTATCCTTTTAAGACGATGCTCGGCGCTGAGGCGAGAGCTACATGTTGGAAGCAATCCACCCTCCATCCTTGAACCTAGTGCAATCGTTTAAGTCGAATGCGCACGGCACTAATGCGAGAGCTCCATTTTGAAAACGGCCCGCCCTCGATCCTTGAAGCTGTTGCAGATGTCCTGTTTCAAGCGCAAGCGTGGTGAAATCTCGAATGAAACGCCCAGCCGCCCCACCGACACGTCTAAGGGTGCGACAGAGAGGACATACTTAAAAGGGCATGAGATGGAAGAGAAGGGGCGAGGGAGACTGGAGGAGGAGGAGGAGAAGGAGGAGGAGGAGGAGAAGCAGGAGGGGGAACGACGATGAGATGATGATGTTGATGAGGCTGATGATGATGATGATGATGATGATAATGATGATGATGATGATGCTGAGGTTGACGATGACGATCGCACTGATGATGCTGATGATGATGCTGATGCTGATGCTGATGATGATGCTGATGATGCTGCTGATGATGATGTTGATGATGATGATGCTGATGATGAGGATGTTGATGCTGATGATGATGATGCTGCTAATGATGAGGATGACGATGATGCTGATGATGGTGGGGAGGAGGAGGGGTAGGAGGAGGAGGCGGAGGAGTATGGGAAGGAGAGGGAGGACGGGGAGGAGGGATAGGAGAACGATGGAGGAAGGAGGGAGGAGTCTGCGGATACGACGGCAGGAGGGCGCACCCTGGTTGGAACACGATCGGCCCCCTGCTCAGCGCAGGCAGAACTACGCACCGCTGGCTAGCTCAACCAGCAACACTGGACACACTGATGCCGACGAGGACTGCGGAGGAAAGAAGGCAGCCTAGGCACGAGCGCCTGAAGGCGAACACACCCTCGACCCTCACGGATGGATTCCACGCAACGCCCCGTTCTGCAATTAACAATCGCACCTGTTTGCAGTCAGGAGCCGAACCGCTGGTCGAGCTCGCGGCTGGTGCTTGCGGGGTGGGGGCGGCCATCCTAGCCGCGAAGTCACGAACGCCCGAATACGAGGGCACCCTTGACATTCACGGAGGGACTCCGCGCAGCGCCCTCTGCTGCAACTGTCTCGCCTCCACGAAAGTGTGACCCCAGGCAGGGATGACCTGTGGTGCGCGGCTGTAGGGGGCCACGTGAAAGGCCAGATCCACGCGCGCAAGCCACTGCCAGGGGGACCCCTGTAGGCCCGCACCAAAGGTCACTCCAGCGAAGGGTCACTCACACGCTTGACCGACTAACGATCACATCGAAGGAAGCTGGTCGTGAGGGAAACAAGCCCTGGACCACCAAGCCTTCCCACAGGGACCGACTTCTCATCCCGAGCCGTTTTTTGACGGTCAGTGGGCCCATGGAAGGGCTCCCCGCGAGCCTGAAGGCGCCGAAGCAACTCCAGGACCCGCTTCTATCCCCACCTGAAGTCGGTACATGGAAGCCACACCAGGTGCGACCACCCACAGCCACATCCGACAAGACCCAGCCAATGCACCGAATACACCCGACCAACCGAACCGAAGGAACCAACCTGGACCAATGATGTGCAGATGCGACGTCAACGATACAACGATACGATCGGCAGTGTGCGGTGCGAGACAGGTGGCGCGACGCCACAGCCGCACGAGAGCATCCAACCAACGGCTGCCGAACGCCAGACGCGAAAGGTGGGTGACCACACCCGTTCCCGCCTTCCAAGGAGAACATGCAGATGAAGAAGATAGGGCGGCGGCAAGCCGCAGAATATGGAAGACAACTGGAAGAACACGAGGGCAACCTGCCCTCCAGCGGCGAGAGCACAACGCACCGCGCCGAAGGGTGCTCTGCCACCGCCCCCGTGCGACATACGGGAGGAACCGCGGCCAGACAGGCCACAAGCGGCAGAAAACCGCGGCTGGAGAACGACGACCGCGAGCAGAAAAGAAGGGGGCAGCCTGCCCTAGCGGGGGCGTGGGCTCAGCGCGAGGCTCCGAAGGGAGTCCAGCCGCTGCCAAGCGGCCAGCCTGGCTGCGCGGAAGAAAGACGGTCGCCGGCCGAGGCGGCCCACGAAGAGGCCGACGGCCTGGCCGACGGCCGCGGGCTTCCCGCGGGCTGACGCCCTCGGGCGCGGGCGCGCGCGGCGTCCGACCTGGGGCCCAATCGGGCCCTCCTTGAAACCCGGTTTCTCCTCCCCTCCCTCCGAGGTAACGAGTGTGGCCGAGGAGGAAACGGAGGAGGAGGATGAGGAGGAGGAGGAGGATGAGGAGGAGGAGGAGGAGGAGGAGGAGGAGGAGGAGGAGGAGGAGGAGGAGGAGGAGGAGAGGAGGAGGGAGGAGGAGGAGGAGGAGGAGGAGGAGGAGGAGGGACGAGGAGGAGGAGGAGGAGGAGGAGGAGGAGGAGGAGGGAGGAGGAGGAGGAGGAGGAGGAGGAGGAGGAGGAGGTTTTTGGATCCCCCTCCTCGAGGTCGGGTACCCGGGGCGTCGTTGGAGTGCCACACGGCCCTCGTTGGCTGCCGCGGGGGCGCTCCGCGCTCTCCGGGCGTCTTGGGCGCTGGCGGAGCGAGAGAAGTGCCAGGACTGCCAGGGGGGGAGGGGGGGGGGGTGATCGAGGAGGATGGGAGGGAGGGGGAGGGGGGGAGGGGGGGGGGAGGGAGGGGGGAGGGGGGAGGGAGGGGAGGGGGGGGGTCGAGGAGGATGGGAGCACGCGCCAAGGCCACTCTCCTTGTGCGAGGCTCTCTGCCCTTGTCCGCGGGGCTAAGCGTTCGCCCCAGATCGCCGTTGGACGGCCATGGGGCCGGGAGCGGGTCTCCCAGCGCCGAAGAGTGCGGAAGCATCGGCTTGTTCCCTTTACACACACACACATGCACACGCAAGTTATACGTATTATGCTCGAAGCGCTGGGGGTCTGACTCTGCGGGGGCGACGGCGAGGAGGAGGCCGGCGACGACGAAAAAGAGCGGCGCCAGCCACGCCGGGATGCCATCAGCACCGGGGGCCTGCCGTCGCGCGAGTGGACCCAGGGCGTGTCGGCGGGGTCGACGAGGGCGCCCCTGCAGATGAGCCGCAGGCGCCGGCGGTCCTCCTCGCCGAGGCCGAACAGCCAGCCGACAAAGCCGTGCAGCGTCTGGCCCTCGGGCAGCCGGAGGCCCGTGAGGTGGACGCCGTGGTAGCGCACGGCAAACACCGCTGGGCCAGAGGCGTGCCTGGGGAGGCAAGCAGCAAAGAGATCCCTGGACATCCAGGCCTTGCCATTATCCCCCCCGGGCGCTGCCTGGTGTCGTGCCCCGGGACCATCACATAGATCGACCTGGCTCGAGCAGTGCATGCCGCAAAAAGATGGTGTCGATGGCACTGGTCGTGATTCTTCGCGATGCTGCAACTCTTCGCAACGTCGGATCTCAGGGTGCCGCTGCTCCCCGGATCTCTCCACGGGCGCGCTGCTCTGACTGGGATGTCGGAGCGGATTCTGCCGTGGCGCCGCGGGCCTCCCAGGAGACCCAGAAATGAAGGGGCCCTGGGACACACAAATAAATACACACACAAATAAAACTATTCCCCATATTTCCCCTATATTTTCTGGTTTTTGTCTTCCCCACCACTTCCCATATTTTCTAGGGAGTCGACGATTAATTGTGTCTGTGTGTTTCTTCCCTTCCTGAAGAAAGGCAGAAGCAAGGCAGGGGCATCGGCATCGGTACCCTTTCCTCTGCAACTTCCTTGTGCTATCCGAAGTATGGGGTTCTTGCTGTTACTGGAGCGCCTCTGCCTCACTCCCGCCCGCTTCTCCCTCTGATCAAACGCAGATCACTCATACTCAAACTCTCTCACACTCAGACTCATTCAAACTCAGACCCACTCGCACTCATGACACTCAGCTCGCACTCAGATTACTCATGTGCAACCTCACTCACACTCAGATCTACCCGCACTCAGATCCACTGATGCTGGGGCTCGCTCTCACTGACTCTCAGCCTTGCTCGTACTCAGGTCTTGTACATGAGCCACTAGCACTCAGATCCACCCATACCCGGTCAAGTCATGCAAATACTCATACACGCATACCACTCACAGCGTGACTAGTCGCACTCGCAGTATGACCATAGCGACATAGCAGGCGTGGCATTTGGCCACCACCTGAAATGGGGCGCCGCCAGGGGGCATTCCATTCGCCCGTTCGCGCCCTGATTGCGGGGACGGCTCAAGCGTTTTGCTCGGTTTGCCCCTCAGAACCCACTCTGTTTAAGGCCCCATGATTACAGCGACACAGCAGGCGTGGCACTTTTGCACCCCGAGGGGGGGCCGCCAGGGGGGATTACACTCGCGCGTTCGTGCCCAGGTTGCGGGGACGTCTGAGGCGGTTTGCTCGTTTTGCCCCCAGGCCCTTCTCTTTTGAGAGCCCCATGGTCATCGCGACAAAGCAGCCGTGGCATTTGAGCACCCTAGGGGATCTGCCAGGGAGTATTCCACTTGCACGTTCGCGCCCGGATTGTAGGGACATATCAAACGGTTTGCTTGCTGGTGTCCCCCATCAGGCTGCTGTCTTTTGAAGGCCCCATCACCACCGCGACATGGCAGGCGTGGCATCGGGGCACTTCCAGGGGGAGCTGCTAGAGAAGGGCAAGCTCGCCTGTTCGCGCCCAGAATATGGGGATGCCTTACGCAGGTTGCCTGCTTTTGCCCTTCTAGGCTCCTCTCTTTCGAGCTGATGATCGTTGCGACCTAGCAGGCGTGGCATTTGGGCACTCCCAGGGGGAGCCGCCAGATGTCTCAAACAGTTTGCCTGTGTCTGCCCCCCTCCAAGCTCCTCTCTTTTGAGAGCCCCCATGGTCACCGCGATGCCATAAGCATGGCATATGGAGTACATGTGCCGGTGCGCGCCCAGACGGGGGAACTCTTAAGCGAAACGATGGTTCAGGCACCCCCGGCCCCGCCCCCATTCAGGGTCCCAAGACCAGGAAGCTGTAGCAGGCAACACACTTGTCGGCAATAGCACTCGCCCGCATCAGTGTCACTGGGGCCCGTCCACCTGGCATGTGATTTCGCGTCCATGCCTTTCGACTGGATGCAATCCGAGCTCGCGCTCGGGAGGGCGAGGAGGAGGAGGAGGAAGAGGAGGAGGAGGAGGAGGAGGAGGAGGAGGAGGAGGAGGAGGAGGAGGAGGAGGAGGAGGAGGAGGAGGAGGAGGAGGAGGAGGAGGAGTAGGAGGAGACCGGGCAAGGGCGCTGTGCGACGGTCCCCTGCGGCGCAAACGGCCAAACGTGCCCACGTAGCAAGCAAAGCATGTGGGTACTCCTGGAGGGAGCCGCCCGGGAACAGTCAGCCGCCGCAAGCTGAGATCCTCTCGCCCAGACGCTCACAGACAGGTGTGCCATGAACTGAGTTGCACGCGTCGCGGGTTCCCGAAGCCCTGCACCCCCCTAAAAGCGTTGCCATCTCCTGGCGTCGCATACGCTGCTTCCGCCAACTTCTGCACCGGCTTCCGCCGCGGAAGAGGCATCAATTCTGTCGATCCCTTGAAGGCGATTCCCTTTCTGGAGCGCGCCATGTGGTGAGCGTTTTCGTATTCGGCGCTTCGGCATTGGGCGAAAGGGGGGGGGGGGAGGGGGGGGGGTCTGGCTCTGGACCTCTGCTTACTGCGACTGTTTTCAACGTTGGGTCCTATGAGGAGAGACTCGACCTGCTCGAAACAGGCGCCCCAAACAGCCAAGATCTACTCCATGGGAGGGGAGGGAGGGGGGTGCGAGGGCCCGCGCCGATCGGCAAACCGCTGAATTAAACAAACGATCACGTGGGGATCCTTGCGTCGAAGAGCTGCTTTCCCCCCACTCCGAGCGCCTTCCCGCCAGGGTGCGAATCGCCCCGCGGCAGTTCGGGCACGCGGCGCCGCGGCCCAAGGCGGAGGCCGCCAGCAGCTTGGAGATGCACTGGGCCCCCTCTGACTATCTTGGTTCAGAAATAGGAAGAGGGTGTGGCATGAAGGGGTGTGGTGCCAGTCGTGGAAACGACGATGCTATCTACGATAGGCTACAGTGCCAGATTCAGCAGTGGCACCACGCCCCTTTACACCGTACCCCTTTTTCTCAGCAGGCGAAGAACGGTATAACATACACTTTTTCGCTGTCGGGGGCGCCTGTCCCTGGGCGACTGGAAAATTTCTATCCCTACGGTGCCACCGTAAGGGTGTAAACTTTCCAGCCGCCCTGGGACAGGCGCCCCCGACAGCGAAAACGTTTATTTTATACCGCTCTTCGCCCGTTCATTTTCCTACCTCCAGACTTACCACTCTGGGCGGCCAAGTTAGGCCCGCGTGCGTGAGGCGGGCGCGCGGGTCGCTGGGCGTGCGTGAGAAAAGTGCACGCTGGCAACACATCTGCTCATGACTTTGAGCATGCCGAGACAGTTTAGGGTGGCCGTTTTGGGTACAATCGGGGCGTTGACCTAAGGAACCCTAAATAAGGAACGAGGCCCATTTTACCACAAGTTGAACTTTGATTTCCCATCGGAAATCTGAAGAAAACCTAGGGCAAACAGTGAAACAATGAAGGAACACGGAGCCCCTCCCCAACGAGAAGGGTTGCTTCTTCAGCGCCCCGCCTGTATGCAGGGAACCGAACTCTCTATACACCGACACTTTTTCCGGCCCTGCACCAAACTTTGCGCAGGAACGCGGGTCCTGGTGCATATGGGACCCCGGTGTATACATGTTTCGTTGTCTCCCCTGGAAGCGGATGAAACAGCGTATGCGCCACAGCACCCCGACGTCGCCCCAGACCCGCAACAAGTTCTGGGACGCAGAAACAGACCGCCACTGGTAATCTCTACAGCCATCGGCCTGACCTAGGGAACGATAAGTAAGGGACGAAGCCCCTTTTATCCCAAATAATAATGCAATTTCCGATGTCGGGCATGCCCCAGCGCATCCGGTGTGGTGCAGCCTGCCGCCGAAGCAGACAGGGGGGCCCAAGCGCTGCAGCCCGTGCAGAAGCGGTGGCCGCAGCCCGTCGTGAGCGCCTCGCCGCTCGCCTGCAGGCAGATCGTGCAGTGCTCCGCGGCGCCCTCCGCGGCAACGCCCGCGCTCGCCATCTCGGGCGGCGCCGTGGAGGGAGGGGGGCCGGGAGCCCAAGGGACCCTCGCACGGCGAACCGACTACCTGCCCGACCACCCCCAATGCAAGCCGAAGGCCCGAATTTCGGGTTGGGGGCGGGGGGTAGGGGCTTCAAACGGGCTGTCCATCTGTGTTCCCCGACACCCCCCCCCGGAAAAGGAGGGAAAATCGGGGCCTTCGGGTGGGGTTGGGGTAGTTTGGTGGGCGGTGCCGAAGAGCACCCACGACAGAAGGCTCTCCTCAGTCTTCGGCCCCGGGGGGCCCCGGCCGGGCCCCGGGGCCGTCGCAAGCTCGGGAGGAGAAGCGGGCCCAGGGGGCGTGGGTCTCGAGACCTCCGGGGGCCCCCCTGTCGCAGGCTCGGGAGGAGGAGCGGGCCCAGGGGGAGCCGAGGCGTAGGATGAGAGTCGCGGCGTCGCGGGTCGGGGAAGAGAGGGGGGTCCGCGTGCCCCTGGCCCGAGGCGCGTGCGCAGACGGGGGTGGGGGACCTCAACAGCACACGCCAAGGAGAGGAAGCGCAGCGGCCATGCACGCACCCCCTACGGGAGATACGCGTCAAGGTATAGCAATTTTCGGAGATACAGCTATTGGCAGAGGTCACCGTCAGGTCGAGCCCCAGCGATCGGCCACAAACCTCCCATTCAGCACCTGGGCATGCCCCTCAACATGCATCGGCAGTGGTTGCCGGCATGGAAGACACATACGCAACACATCTGCCCGACCCAAGGTCACTCGGACTAAACATGATCGACCCACGAATCCAGGAAGGCGAGGCATGACTACGTTTTCGAGACACCTGATCGGGCGACAGGCAGTGGCAATGCTGAAGATATCAAAGGCGATGACGCTGTGCCAGGGGCTGTGTTGTTCTGCTCTGCGTTGAGCCGCGCCGCACAGTGGTGTGCCAGGGGACGCGCCACTGAACGTGCCAGTGTAAGTGCCAGGGGACGTGCCAACGCGCCGCGCGATGTGCCAGAGGGACGCGCCACGGGACGCGCCTCGGAACGTGCCTCGACGAGCGCGTTCCACTACTCGCAAAGTAACTGATCGCAAATGGCCTGAATCCCTCGCGGGGGATCTACGGTAAATTATGTCAAAGTAGGCAGGTGTTTTTTTCGGACGTCTGCGAGTGGGCACTTTGCGAATAGTGGAGCGCGCTCGGCAACAGGGGGACGCGCCACGGATCGTGCCAGCGGACGTGCCAGGGGACGTGCAAGTGGGCGTGCCAGGGGGACGCGCCGCGCGACGTGCCCAGGGGAGGCGCCAGGGAACGTGCCAGGCATCAATGAAGATGCTACTGTGCCAAGGGCTGTGCTGTGGTTCTCTGCGCTGTACCGCGCCGCGCAATGACATTTCAGGGGACGCGACACGGGACGTGCCAATGGACGTGCCAGGGGACGTGCCAAGGGACTCGATGCGCGATGTGCCAAGGGGACGCGACACGGGACGTGCCAGGGGGACGCGCCACGGAACGTGCCAGCGGACGTGCCAGCGAACGTGCCAGGAGACGTGCCAGGGGACATGCGAGGAGACGCGCCGCGCGACGTGCCCAGGGGAGGCGCCAGGGAACATGCCAAATATCAATGATGATGCTACTGTGCCAAGGGCTGTGCTGTGCTTCTCTGCGCTGCGCCGGCACAATGA